ATCTAGTGCCAATCACCGACGGACATCGATTGCCATCCATTGACGGCAATCGAATGTGCAGGAAGGCAGCTTCCACATCTGCGTAGGATATCGCACCCATTCATCACACATGACACATGGGGCGGGACCAACGGCTTAACTTCCCTTCCGAAGGAAGACGTGACCGGAGATTTTTATGCCTCAGAAAAATCCCACCGACCTCGGCTGGGATTGAACCCAGACCCATCGGAGTGTTAGAAAGCAGTCACGCTTACCACTACACCACCGGCGCCGGCTTAAAATCAACTGATGTCCTGGAAGATTTGGAAAACCTATAATTTTCGGTATAGATAGTAATAAGTCGTGCATGATCCACAAAGTCACATATATACGATTTGGTTATGATTTCAGGTATAGGTTCATATTAGAAAAAAAAATAAAGAAAATGTCTCACCATTGTACAGAACCCAAGGAATATTCGTGTAAATACAGAACCGCGACGTGACCAACAAGTGTGACTTATGGAACTCTGGTAATTTCTCGATTATGTGCAGGGTGTTTGGTTTGAATCGGTAAAAAATTGAGAAAACTAGAGCCAAAGTAACTAACAACATTTTGGACAGCAAAATACGTCAGAGACGCAAAGGTTAATTTTCAATAAAATTTTCATTTCAAATGAAAATGCATTAATTTTTTTTTAAAGGATGATTCATCAAATCTAGGCCGGTATTACTTAATAGAATGTTATAATCTAAGGATGTTTTATTATACATAAATAACTAAAGATGATACAATGCTATTAAAAAAAATATTTTTAAATGTTACAAACGATACTCCTTTAGCTCAGTCGGTAAAGGCGCAGCTTCAAAGCAATTCCATGCTGGAGACGACTAAGTTCGATTCCCGTCCGGTCTATTATTTTTTCGGGTTGGAAAATTTCTCTACTTCCTTGGGCATAGGATGATACAGGCATAGAAAGCTCTCAATTAGAATGTGAAAGTACTTCAAAGAACACTAAGTTGAGAGCAGGCAAAAATCTAATATGCTATAAGCAATAAGTTTGAAATGCCATGTAGTAGCAAACAAATGCTATTTTTAGGCAATGAAAACAGTTTTTTTTTTTTTTTTTTTGTCGCGCATTAGTATTTTAGTATTTTCGCGGATCTAATTTAGAAAATATTGTAACTGCCCTGCAATTGTCCTGATCCCAAGCAGTTTATTAACATTTGAATCCGGTGAATGTATATTAACACTCTGTTTCAAAGATATCTACTTTTTACTTCCTGAATCTCGAAAATATATGGGTCAGGGATTTCAAAACTTTTTCTTTTTTAACTTCCAGAATTTTGAGAATTATTCATGGAAAGAAAGTTCGAAATCCAATAGGAGGAAGCCAAAAAAAAGCATCCAGAGAAATTCAGTAGAAACTTGCGTGTGAATTCTGGTTAAATTTCCAAAGGATTTTTTAAGAAATGCCCAAGGAAATCAGAAAAAAAAACTTCTCCAGGAAGCCGTATGAAACTTCGTAATGAAATTAGAGCTAGCTTCCTCGGAAAACTAGAAGAAGCTTCCCGAGGCAGTTGGAAGAAACTTCCATGGGAAATTACAGGAAGCTACAAAAAAAAACTTGCAGCAAAAGTCGGAAGGAAATTTTGGAGGAAGTCAGAAAAAAACTATTGGATACATCTGGAGAATAAAACTTCGGGGGAAGTTAGAAGAAATATCAGAAGAAAGCAGAGAAAGTTAGAACAAATCTTCCAGGGTAAATAGTTGGAAGCAACTTCTTGGAGAAGCTGATATTTATGGGTGAAATTTAAAAATTGTCCGCTGAAGGAAATAAAAATATTAAAATTGTGTTGTTATTTCTACTTAAAGGGAAGTTTACCACATTGATTTTTTTTTAAATCGATAAAAGATTAACCCTCCATATCTGAAAAAAATATTCATGCAAAATTATGTTGCCTCATAATGAAAACAAGTTGGACTCTAATCAATGTTGAAAGGTCGGTTTTTGCGGTTTTTTGACGTACGACTACGTCTGTGATTTCTATATGGAGGTACACTTTGTGAAAACCGAAAATGGACCATGTAACGAAATTTTGAAAGATTTTGAACGTTATTAATTCAGCTGCCCCTTAACCAATTTCAAACATTTTATCAGCAGTCGATCAGAAATATTTCCACGCATCTATAAAATTTCTTCCGACTGTTGATTTTCAACAAGAAACTATTGAAAAGTGGAAAATATCAAGCATTGTCCAGCAGATGGGCCAAGACTTTTGCGAGTGGCCAATCATTGAACCGAAGATAATGGGATTGTCCGGTCCGATTTGCTGATCCAGCTACCTACACGTCATCATCATCTTTTAAAGGCTTTAAGCCTGCACAGCAAAAAAATAATTTTGATATCACATCAAAGTGGGTGCACTTGAATCGTGTCAAAAATATGGTGTAATATTACTTGCCAAAAACGAAAAAATCGGTGTATGATGTGAAATTACGCTGCTTTCACTGCCTTTTTTTTGTGGCCATTAAAATAACATTATATTTTCGACATGATTGAAGTGCATCCTCTTTGATGTAATATTAAAATTTATTTTTTGCTGTGTTTACTACCATCGGCCCTTTTCAGGACCACCAAGATTTTCCAAAAGAGTTAAATTTCTGAACATGTTCCAACTAAAATTCATATCAAAAGGTTCTTTTCAGGGCAATCATAGTCATACTAAAGAGTATAAACAGAGAAAACCCCCTTCAAACTCCTATTCCTATACAAAGCACAAGCTCTTGCTGCAGTTAACAAATATCATTTATTATATAAGACCACGTATTTAGTCCTACGTCACCATTGCGTACAACCCCATAGGGCTGTTCCTTGTAGTTTTTAGTCCAACTTTGTACCATGATGAGATTGAAAAATCGTTTGAACTCTTTTAAAAAAATAGGAAAAAAACTTTCTTTTTAAGGTTTTCGATATCTTTTTCCAATAATTTAAAAAAATAGAAAACGTGTTTCTTTCATCTTCCCCTTAAAGCTTCATGTATCGTTCTACATAAGTGAAACAGTTTAGTCGATTATTATGAAAAATTAATCCTTTTTAACAAACTAGTCTCGGGATAAAAATAAATTCACAATCAGTATCAGTGAAACTCGAAACCATATGGGTCCTTCCAGAATCTTCAAATTTTTGACAGAGCTCTTGAACATTTTCCAAAGTCCTATAAGTATGAAGTCCGTTGCCAAGTTTCCATTTTTCAAGCAAGAAATTTTGAAAAATATGCAATTCTAAGTCCTTGAATATATGTTTCCTTTGTCTGGGATTTTACTGATAATTAAATATCCAAAGTCCAAAAAATCCTACTTCGAAAATTCATAAAATTATCCAACTCTGATAACTTAAGATTTTTCACAAGTTTGAACTCCAGCCAGAAATAGCAACCGGGAAAAGTCAGTAGAAACATTCGGGAAAAGTCGAAAAATCTTGCGGGAACAATCTGGTAAAGAGGATGTCGGAAGAAATGTCCGAGGAAATCAGAGAAAACTTCTTAACGAAGCCGTATTAAACATCCTAAGGAAATTGAAGCTAGCTTCCATGGAAAGCTGGAAGATACTTCCATGCTAAATTACGGGAATCTACACACCAAAGTTTCAGGAGAAGTCAGGAAGAACTTTTGGGGGAAGTCAGAAAAAAACTTTTAAAGACGTCTAGAGAATCAAAACTTTGGAGAAAGTGAGAAAAAAGCGGAAAAAGTTGAAAACAAACTTCTTGGAGAAGCTGACATTTTTGGGTGGAATTTAAAAATTGTAGTACTATTTAAAGGCGAGTTTACCGCATTCAAAAATCTAAAAATATTGGATGAATATTATCTTTTGATTTCTGAAAAAAACACACATGCAAAAATATTCTGATCTCATCATGAAAAAAAGTTGGACTCTAATCGAAATCCCAATAATTTCTCATAAATAAAACGAATTTCTTCAAGCTTCCCCTTAATACTTCATGTTTGGTTCTACATAAGTGAATAAATTTGATTGGTTTACTATCAAAAATTAATCCTTTTTGTCAAACTAGTCACTGGATCAAAATATTTCCAGATCAACTAGTTTATAATTCACGGGTTGCACTAAAATAGTCGGGAATTCAATACGCTAGTGCAGGGGCTGTTGTACATTTATAATCGAACGTCTGTATTCTATATGTATATTTCTGGTTAACTCACAACAAACGTGCTTAGCGTCCACTCAAAAATGGTGAGTGTCTTCGTGCTATACAAAATTCAAAAAATATAGAAGATTGTCTAAGCGAGGCACAGGAAGGGGGTCCAAAATCTCTCAAAACGGTCTGCGGTAGTTTATGAACAGTGCATTACTTAAGCACAAAAATTTCTGACGAATTTATGATTAAACTGCAAATAATGAAGTTCTACAACTCAATACTTCCGAAAAGGTGCTCAATCTAAATCTAAAATACCATTGAACAATTGAAAAGTTCATTTTATACAAACGTCTTTTATCAAAGAATGTTTAATTGATCTAGCAATGCAGCAAAGATAATCATACCTTCCCAGGTACATCATACTAGCCGTAGCAAGTAAACATTCATCAATTAAATAAGCGCAAAAATCATACTCATGAGAATCAGAATCACTTTGAAAACGAGAAACCAGTCCGGCTACATTCTGTTCGAATAAATCACCCTTCTGCTCGACTGGGATCTTCATCGGTTATATGTCTTACACCTTTTCTTCCTCCATGGGAGCAATACGTTTCATCGTCGTGTGAAGTAGCTACCGTTCTAGCAACACTCCTGCCAACCTTTTCACATATTCAAGAAAATGTACCGACCAAAGACGAACAACCTACAACTGCTCCCTCAACCGGCAATGGCAATCAAGTAGAATCTGACCCAGCTGGACTGGGAAAGAAAGCAACTTTTCGGATGAATTCATATAAAATTTACATTCATACCTTCTTAGTTAACACACTATACTTGCTCAAACGTGGCTCTATTTCCTCCACAGCTTGTTACATCGACGTCGAGGACGACGAAAATGAAGAAGACCAAGCAAGGGATTCCAATACGGCACATGGAACCAAGGGTCGGAACGGCGGTGATGAGCTTGATAACGGCCAGTCACAGTGGTGTGATTTACCGGATCATATCATGGAGCGTATCTTTGCACACCTGAGCATCAAACAGCGATACTATGCTAGTTTGGTATGTAGACAGGTACCACTAGCAAGTGAAGACGGAATTTCATTTGAAGAAATTGTCTTGTTCTGATGGGATGCTGGAGGGGCGATGTCCCACCGAGAGCAGCTCGATTTATTTCGTTTGCGTACTGATGAGATGATTTTCATGATTTTCTTCTCGTTACAGACCTGTTTCAGCTGGTATCAGGCATTCTCGCTGCCAAACGTATGGTCCAATTTTCTGGTCGTGGACGAAACACTTTCCCGGCTTAAATACAACTACTACTCTGGCTGGCAACCGGTGCTGGATCATGCCCGAACTCAAAATTGCCTGATATCCGTGGGGAAGCTTTTCCGTGGGCTGGATTTCCGTCCGGTTTACTCGTTCAACAATATGTTTCAATTCATGACTCTGATCTCGTGGGCTATTGAGCAGAACCAGCAAATGAAGATCCCATCGGAGTGGAAGGGCTGTGGATTGAAAATAAAATCTCTAAATTACATCTTCCCCTGCAATATGGCCTCCAGCGAGGATCCGGAATCGATCAAACTGTTCGGAACCGGCGGGCAGCTGCTGGCTTCCCTGAAGAGATTAATGCTCAACCTACCCAACCTGCAAACGTTGCGGTTGGTCGATTTGATGCTGGAACGCTACGAAGCGAACCACCTGCTGGACGAAGTGTTGGAAGCGTGCTGTTTGGTGCTGAAGCGGTTGCACCTGATCAACGTAACCTTGGTCCATTGTCCGGTGATGCACATTGGACTGTTTTTGAATCTACAGGTGAGTGTAGGGAAATCGATTTTTTTTTTTTGCATTTACAGGGAATTTAAATTTCAGTTCAGTTCATTGAGGTTGATTGTAAATCGCATTCCACTCCCATGTTATGATGTCAGTCACTCGGAAGTAGTTTCTAATCGGATAGATTATTAAACGTATGCATGCATCAGCTGCTTTCAGTGAAGCATCGACATAGAATTAATTTCTGCTTATTATGCCAACAAGCTTGTTCATTACATAAGGGCATATTGAAAATCAATAGCAACCAATCGCACACATTCCAGCCAAGTTAAGGGCTGAATCGATACTCTTAACCATTCGCCTGAAGGATGCTGATAGAGTTGCACATTCCCGCGGACGAACGAACGAACGAACGATAATGTGGAACAGATGATTCCTCATAATTGCAGCTTCAGGTTGCTCCTATTTCCAAACCCACTTCTCGCGGCTCCCAGAGTTTGATTCAACAAGCCATGCCCAAGAGCCATACCGGGAGGAACCATTATCATATAGTATAGCAAATGTTAGGTAGAATAGATCGCTACGCCGACCGTCACCATCATCTCGTCCGTTGTAATGTCAATCGATGCTGCCCTACATATGGGCGAACTAGGAGTGGTCTGGTAACATACCAGACAATCGTCGGTCGACCCCATCAAACCGTGAGCAGCAGTAGCAGCATCAACAATCACTTTATACGAGATGGTGATGTTGACGACTCGACTACGAAGACGACGACGACGACAACGACGGTACGGCGTTTAGCAACTGGCGGGGAGTACTAAATACATCTACCTACCAGACAGACGCTTCATATCGTGGTCAAAGTGTTGACAGTGAATATATTAGCATACACGAGTTCCGATGCTGTGGCAGCTTTATCACTTTAGATCAATCGATGCAATGCGCATCTATGGTGGTTTTCATCAAGCATTTCTTCCCCTCCCAGTCTAGCTAGTCGTGGAAATGGGATTTCACGCCATGGCATAATACGACACTGGTCAACCTTTTTGTTGAATAGAATGTAATTGGAATTTGGTCGGTGTACACGGATCTGATTGACGTTCAATGTGATTTACCGAACATTACCTATTTGATGATATTGAATAGATAGAATATTCATTATTGTCATAGAAGAACAAGTTAAGGGCTCACCGTGCTCTTCAGGTGATTCCGGCGTTCAGCAAGAAACTTTGAAATTAGTGGAAATAATCTGACCTTCAGTGTGGCTATTAATTATGCGTTGGATGCAAATATTGCCAATCTCATGCCAAACCGTACTACGTGATATTAAAATGCTATGTATTTTGCTATAGGCTCTTTTCATGCACCATCAACATACACGGCGAATGAGAACGACCCAAATTTGAGTTTAGTTCACTCATAATCGCCAAAAGTGCAGGAACTCAGCCATGAGTAAATTTGTCTCATGGTTTCCTGTGGAAAACCAAAAACAATCTGCCGGAAAATGAGGAAATTGACGAAAATTTTATTCAGTCTCGGAGTAGTACCAATAGACTGAGTGAATCCAATCTTTACTTTTCTCAAATTCGGGAATTTTTCCCTGGAAAATCCTGGGAAAACATGAGGCAAATTTACTCATCGCTGAGTTCCTGCACTTTTGGCGATTATGAGTGAACTAAACTCAAATTTGGGTCGTTCTTATTCGCCGTGTAGAGTGCGCTATCCGATTTTGAAAGGAAATGTCATCCAATGCATTTGTTTACATCACAATGACGATTTTCAAATCTCAAAATAATGCATATTTTATTTCACATCTTGCAAATTACCATCGGGTGTGGTCTTGTTTTTCGATTATTTACAGATTTGAACTAATTTACAGCTGAAATAACCACACATTTAAAATCCGGAAGATCATAACCGCTGGGACAATTTTATAAATCTTAATTTTTCTCATCAAAAATATATGGAAGCACCAGCCGGATCACTGCAAACCCGATACAGAAAACAAAATATTCCACGTGGCTGATGATTTCAAGCACCTGGGATGGATAAATTAATCAGGAAAGGTGAAAATATTTTCCTCTTCCTATGCTTCACGGTGAAAATGTTCACCCTCATCACTCTGTTGAGGGTTCCACTATTCACCACCAGCGGCTGGAACAATCGCTTAGTTTCTATTGGCAAATCAAAGTTGGCATTCTTGGAGAATAGAAGAACTATGAGAGTGATGATGGTTTCAAAATTTTACACGGTGAGGTATACGAGTGCAATCTTAAATTGCTTTTATTTTGCAAATGGAGCATTTTATTTAAATCTGGTTGATGCTACGTTAGTAGAAAACTTAAGGACTACTCAATAGACATTTAATATTGAAAAAATGATTTCTTTTCAGATGTTTCGGTGTATACATAGATTTCAGCTTTTCTACCACTGTAGCAGCAACCAGATTTAAATAAAATAACCCATTTGCAAAATAAAAGCATTTTAAGATTACACTCGTATACACGAAACGAAAATTAATTATTTGATTCATGTGTTTCACTTTTACATTTTTGCCAAAACATCAGCCTTATACATTCCATAAGACAAACCATATAGGTACTATAAGAATGCATAAAAGGTATGTGTGACCGCTTATACATATCATTTGACACATGATCTTCATTAACTTTTTGCAAGGCGTCTGCTTATTAGTTGACTTGTACATTTTATGAATAATCAGCAATAGCAATTTGCCAAAAGGTATAAGGAGATTTCTATCCGTGTACACAGCAAAAAAAGTTGTTGAATATTACATCGAAACTGCTGCAACCAGGTCAATCCATCGGTTGTGTAATATCACATTGTACGATGTACATCGATTTTGCGAACAAAATTACATCCATTGATGTAATATTGTATCTGCGTTTTGCTATTACATCATTATTTCATACATCAGCTTGAATTACGTTGATCGATATTACATTTTTTTTTTGCTGTGTACCTCCCGTGGAAAATTTTGAAATCATCATCACTTTCATAGTTCTTCTATTCTCCACGAGTGCCAACTTTTATTTGCCAATTGGATTCGCCTATTCTTTAGATTTGCAAAAACTGACTTTGCTATTGTTTGTGAAGGAGGTGTCCACGGCCAATGAGATCCACCCAAATCTGAGTTCAGTTTACTCATAAATCGCAAAAAGTGCAGCAGCTCAGCGCTGAGTAAATTTTCCAGAGCTTTTCCAGGTTTTTCCAAGAAAACATCCTAATACTATTGGTTCTACTTCCAGACTGAGTATGATACAAATTTACGCATTACATTACACGTGATTGCCTCTCACCAGGGCGTAGCCAGGTTTCAAATTAGTGGGTGGGGGGGCAAAAACTTTTTTTTATGGAGAATTAGGTTAGACGCCGATTAGCTGAACACCATTATACCGAACGCTATTGTACCGTATGGATTACTGGAAACTGAATTTTCAGTCATACTTCGGCATATGTCCCCGATATGTTTATGAATTTTTATAAAAAATACAACACGTTTAAAAATAATGTATCCAGGGTACCAGAACCATTCAAAACTCTAGGGCTTGTTTTTAAGTTTCAAGTTTTTTCTAGTCGTATTAAAATTAAGTTAGTTTTAAGTCTGATTTTCCACTCCCGGATCTTTTTAATTTCTCTAGAAATTTACATAAAAAATAATTTTCCAACAAATTTTATTAGCAACAAGTTTTAAGTTTCATTCAAATTATTGATAAAGATGACGGGAATCATGCTCAATAACACTAGAAATTAAACCAGAATTAATAATTAACCAGGGTGGAAAAGCGATAAATTGGTTTTATGAATTGCTTAAGGAATCTAAAGCTTGCATAAATTAAGATCCAAAGCATAGATTTTTTAAGGTTACAAACTCATGTTTAGCTCGATATCTGAATTTCATTTTCACCAGACAGTGACTTACCTACTTACTTAATGATCCTGCGCACCTCCAGGGGTGCAAAGGTCCGTTGTGAAAGATTTCCATCCTGGGCGATTACTAGCTTAGGTCTTACCCTGGGCCCAAGTCAAATTTCGGTCAACGTTCTTGATTTCACTGTTTAGGCTCCGCCGCCACGAGCCTCTGGGTCTGCCTCTGCTGCGATGTCCTGCTGGATTCCAGCCCAGTGCTTGCTTGCAGATTTCGATTCCGCTCCGTCGTAGTGTGTGGCCGACCCACCTTCACTTCCGTTCAAGAATTTCTGTCTCTATCGGCTTCTGATGGCACAAACGATGAAGCTCGGAATTTGAGATCCAATTGTGGGGCCACCAGGCACGAATTATGTACCGCAGGCATCGGTTGATAAACACCTGCAGCTTCTGAGTGTTCTCCGCTGATACACACCATGTTTCACTGGCCTATAACAGCACAGACTTCACGTTCGAGTTAAAAATTCGGATTTTGGTGCGTCGACTGATCTGATTCGCTCTCCATACATTTCGCAAACTGGCAAAAGCAGCCCTCGCCTCCTTAATCCGTGCACTTATGTCGCTCTTGGTGTCACCGTTCGACGCTATCTGGCTGCCAAGATATTGGAAGCTTTCGACTTTCTCCACTGCCTGTCCAGCTACCGTGAAATTGGAACGGGTTTCCGTGACATCCAACGATTTGGTGTTGTTGACGTTGATGGTTAGACCTGCTTTAGAGGAGCGTTCCACAAGGTCGTCGAGCTTACCCTGCATGTCAGAGCGCCGTTGTGCTGATAACGCAACATCATCAGCCAAATTGAAGTCGTTGATATGCTCCATGGTAATAGGCTGCCACAGCAATCCCCCACGGTTCAGTACACCAGACAGTGACAGATTTTTAAAATTCGGAGTTTAAAATAATTTTAAATTTTTCCTGCTTCGGTAAATGTTGAGCATTTCAAATATATTTTTATTAAACCTAGACTTATAAAAGGATCATAACCTTGCCACAATAGTCCTTTTAATATTGTCCATATAATCAATTCTGAACGATTTAGAAAATTTTACAATATTGTGTGACTCCGAAAATTAAGCAAAGCAAAATGATAAAA